GAAGTGGAACTCTTTGTCAGTGAGTTATCAAGCAGCTGCAGGACATTTATTCACCAAATCCTAGGTCACCTATGACTGGCAGAGAATGGTCAGCCTCTTGTGCTGGTGGACAGGTAGGGAACAGTGGCTTGATCTCAGGGATCACCCAGCTCTGGGGGACTCCAAGCACAGCACCCAATCTGTTTACATTATTTCAGCAAGCAGTTCATCCTCCCAGCACCCCAGGTGAAGGACTGCACCCTGCTAGGCGCATCAGGCGCGTCCAAGCCCTGGGAGCACTGACACCCGCGCACACCTGGCTTGGTCACGAGTACCCGGGCGGCCGGTACCACATTTTAGAGGGTTGCATCCTGACCCTCTGCTGGCTACACCAACACAAGGAGTCTAAGGTTTAAAGGGCCATGCTCTCCCAGAACCTGAGTCCCCCAGTAGACCACACTCAGGGTACTCAGAACCCTGTAATCTCCTGCCCAAATGGCTCCAAATCAGCTTCCAGGACCTGGACCATTCTCCCCAGGTTAAGGCCAAGGGGTGGCTGCTGCTAGCAGGGGTGAATGAGCCAACATTGTCTCCACCACACCCATGAACATACCCTGGGCTCAGACTCTCCTTAACCACTTGCTATTATTGTCTTAGTCTGCTCAGGTCGCTCTTACAAAGTACCATAGGCTGCACAGATTAAGTGGCTTGCAAACAACAGAAATTTATTTCTCGTGGCTCTGGAAGCTAGGAAGTCCAAGAGTAAGACACGGAGAAGTTTCTGGGTTTGACAAGGCCTGGAGAAGTGCCTTCTTGCTGTGTCTTCACATGGAGGAGGGAGCTGGGGAGCTCTCTGGAACCTCTGTTATTTTATCTATTTTCTTTTTCTTTTTGTTATTTACTTTAAAGATGTGGGGCACAAGTCAGGATTGCGTACAGGTGAAGTTTGGGCCTCCCATGGGCCCTCAGTTCGCCTGGATTAGGATCAGACACTCTTACTGATGTTCTGTGCACCCCCCATACCCAGCAGTGTTCCACTACTGCCAGTGCCTTTCTTGTTGTATTACAAGAGGTGTTCAGGGTCCACTCATGAATGAGAACATGTGGGACACCGTTCTTTGTTTCTGTGATAGGTACTGAGTATGATAGACTCTGGAGCCTGTTTTATAAGGGCATTCATCCCACTCAGGAGGCCTTCACCCTCTTGACTTAATCACCTCCCAACGGTCCTGCCTCCTAACACCAGTCCGCTGAGGGTTATGATCGCAACATGTGAGTCAGAGACACCGACGTTCAGGCCATGACACTGCTCTTCAGATTTGCTGTGGTATTTCCACTCCTCACACATGCTCTTCCTTCTTAGAACGCCCTGTCCTGCGCTCCACCCACCTTCTCTGAGTCGGACTAATACCCTAATCCTTTGATGCCCTCTCTAGGATGGCTCTCACCCTCCCTCCACTCTGATGCCCCTCCCTCAGGGCTCTCAGAGCACACTGGAATGCTTTATGAGCGGGCTCGTGGTCCAGAAGCCTGAAGAGCACCGGCACTGCCACTTAGAGGCGTGTGACATCTCTGGGCTTCATTTTCCTCCTCTGAAATGGAGCCGATAACAGGAACCACCTCATAGGGTTGCTGTATTCAATGAGATACCATAGTGAGGCCCTCAGAAGAATCCATGGCATAGGCACTACTAATACATGCTATTATCATTACTGATTTCAACCCCCAACTAGAATATGAGGTCTATTGTGGTTCATATCTTATTCATCTTTGTCGTAACAACTCCTGTCACTGATTAAAGCAGTGAAATGAGTGAGAGTTTGGAGGAAAAAATGAATCAATAAAGGCATAAAATGAAGTGGTGAAGGAATGAAGGAAGCAACTGTCTAAGACCATGGGGATCCCAATACTAACAAAATCTCATCCAGCATTAAATGTAACTAATTTCAACCCATAACTTATATAATGCAAATAGCTTCTAGGGCTTTTTTGGGGTTTTTTGTGTTTGTTTGTTTGTTTTGAGTTGGAGTTTCACTCTGTCACCCAGACTGGAGTACAGTGGCCACTCCCGGCCACCGGAGCCTCAACCTGCTGGGCTCCGGCGATCCTTCCGCCTCAGCCTTCCAAGTAGCCGGAATTACAGGCACGCACTACCAGGCTGACTTTTTTTTATTTATTGTAGAGATGAGGTCTCGCCAAGTTGCCCAGGCGGGTCTCGAACCCGCGGGCTCAGGCAATCCACTCACCTCAGCCTCCCAAGGCGCGGGATTACAGGCTGAGTCACCGAGCCTGGCTTAGAGTTTTTTTAAACCATAAAATAGCAAGAGATATTTATTTCTAATAAAAAAACAATTTTCAAAAGAGGTGATACCGTGAGTGTACCATGGCTCAACTGATCAGTTCAGTCAGAAACAGGTCTCATGAAATCTCTGACTTTGAACCTAGATTTAAAATTAAAATTAAAATGTTGGTGTCCCATACATTCCATTCAGCACTGAGGCCATTAAAATATGATTATCCGGTGATCCTTAGAAAAGACGGGCCAAGTCACTTTACACAAAACAGATCCTTGGCCTCATAGCAACTTCAGGAACTTCTCGAGAGAAACGCACTTAGTGCTGTTAAAGCTGTCTTTGACTGAAGCTTATGTAATTTACAGCAGGATTCATTTTCAACCTTAACTGTTGTACCACTTCCCAGAGTTACCAATCTCCTCCATTTCCTTCTTAAATGAGCATAGCACAGTCCTTGCAGACGAGATTACTTTTAGGTAGGAAGCTTTTATTTGGTTGTATTAGATGGACTGTTGTTTCATGGTTTGAGTTACCTTAGTGATTTCTTATACGAAGAATTCCCAACCTCAACTCTCTGGCATTTTTAGCTGGACATGTCTTCGTCGTGGCCTGTGTACTGTAAGGTGATGAGCAGCATTCCTGGCCTCTACTCACTGGGTACCAGCAGGTCCCCATTCTAATTGTGACAGCATGTCTCCAGACATCGCCAAATGTCCCCTGGTTGAGAGCCACTGCTTTATAAAGACTCAAAAGATGCCATCAGTAAATGATCTCCCAAACATTTGTCCAGCTAGAAAACTCACGTGCATCCTTCTAGAATTAGCTTAAAGGTTACTTTCTCCTAGAAGCTGTTCCCTATTCCCCAGGCAGCATTAGTCACTTCCTCCTCCATGCCTGGTGGCATCTGACTCATTTTCTATCATGGCACTCACTGGAGAACTTCTGTTATCTGCTTACAGGCTGTCCAGCTACAGTCCAGCACCTCTAGGTCACTGTCATCTTTATAGTCACCGTCTCCACCATCATAAGCAGCCTTGTCCTTGTCATCATCTTCATCTGCCAAGTACTGAGCTTTTCCTATGTGTCTGTCACCATGCTGGCTTTTTTCCTTTTATTATCTCTTCTATCCATAACTTTACAGGTACTACTAAACCCAGTTTATAGATGAGAACACTGGAACTCGAGGAGGTCAAGTGACCTTATTAAGTTGCTAGAATTGTTTGTTTACAGGTTCATCTCAGCCTACAGGATTCTAAAAGGACAAAGTGTCTGTTATTATTGTCTTTATAGCTCTCTTACCCAGAGGGCTCCTAGAATGAAGTCAGTACTTAGTAAACGATCAGTTAAACAATGAGGAATAAGGTGGGATCCAGAAGAGTCCCCACCCCCACAGCAGGGAGAGACAGTGTCTCCAGAGGTCGTTTTGGTGGGTAGAGTTGGGCTGGAGGTATTAACACAATACGATGATACCATACGCCAGCCACACAGCACAGCGGGGAGAATCAGGCGGTCACACCCGAGCAATAGGGTGAGGGGAAGAGAGCACTCCTGGTAGGACAGATGACCTGCGAAAGGCATAACAGCCTACAAGGAGGAAGCAGTTAGCAGAAAAAAGACAGAGCAGGGACCCTGCTAACACCTTCTCCTATGGACGAAAGGGTGTGGTGAGAGTTTTAAGCGCACCAATACCAGCTTTCTCTTCTGGAGTGATCTCTTAGGAGACTGTGTGAAGAATCCATCTGAAGGCAGAACACAGGGCAGAAAGATCAGGCAGGAGCCATGCAGCAATCCAGGCAGAGGTAGCAGGACTCTGAAAGTCTGCCCAATAAAAAATATATCTCTTTCCCAAGCACCCATATTTAGGAATGCAATGGGATTCATGAGCGTGGAGTCATTCCTTGGAACGCTCTCCTAAGTGTGAGTCATCTCCATGGCATGGTGTGAGCACAGCAAACCTGTGACAAGTCACAGCCTGTCTTTGGCTCCCTGTGTCTCTTCTTTCTGAAATGTTCTTCCCTGACCTCATCTTGGTTCCTTGCTCATCTCCAGATCCTGGTGAATGTCACCTTCCTAGCCAACTGGTAAATTGCAGCCAGCTGTCAACTCCTCTTTGCCTGGTACTCATGACCAGCTACCACTGTAGCTTACTGACTCACAAAAGCTAAGTGTTACATTTTCAGGAATTTTACAAGTGGGTTGACATCATGTTGGTAGTTTGAAATTGGCCAGAGTGGGAGTATAAACCATGGAAATTGGCAAATGTTGCGAATCAGGGCTTTGTTTCTGCTGAAGGGCTTGTTGTAAAACATTTACTAGTTCTCTCCTAGGAAGCTATTGTACAAAAGTTCTGTGACTTTCATTGTTTCCATGTTTATTCCATCGTTTATATTGTTGACTTAATTCATTTGCTACTTACTATTCAACTATTAATGAAGCACCTATATGAACCCACCCCGTGCTAGACCCTGGGGTCACAACAGTGAATAAATGTACATACGGCCATCACTCTTTTCTCAAATTTGATAGAGAAGCAGATATTCATCAAATAACTTCACAGATCAGCATAAAATTACAGCCACAATTGCCTCTACAGAGAAGAGCTACGTGAGACCATGAGGGTATAATGGTGGGCACCTGATTACAGTGAGGAAGCAGAGAGAGGCAAGCAGTCCAGGAAGGCTTCTCTAAGGAAGGGGCAGTTAAGTAAGGATCTCAGCTAGGAAGGAAAGGGGATAGGAAAAGCATTCTGAGCAGATCAATAATCCCGAGTCGTTACTGTCCTGCAGGCTGGCTTCAGTAGCTGGTTCTGATTCAGTTTCTCTGCAGTGGAGCCCAGGAACCCGTTCACGCATTCTAAGCACTCCGCGTGGTTTCTGACATGCATGGTCTCATGACCACACTTTGACAGAGAGCGTACAAAGATATCTAGTGTTTATGATGCACGTAATGTGCTCAATGTCCATTTCTTGAGAGGCTACTGGTTGTTGGATCGTGCATTGGGAACGTCGTTTGTGCTTGTGTCTCTCCTCCTGTGTTTCTGTTCTGCTTGGAGCCCTCATTGTCCCACCTGCTAAATGAGGGTTTTGCACTGTATGATCTCCCCAGCCAATGGCTCTAGGACCCTGAGTACGTGTTTTCACTCTCTCTGTAGATGCACTTGCAAAAAAGGTTACGTGGGCGATGGCTCAACCTGTTATGGAAACATTATGGAGCGACTCAGAGAATTAAACACAGGACCTGGAGGAAAATGGCAAGGAAGGCTGACCTCTTTCATCTCACTCCTGGGTATGCAGCTGAGGAGACAGATTTCCACCAAAGAGGCAGCCCTCTCTCAGACAAGGGCATCTGCAAGGCACAATCATTCAGAAAGGGATAAGCAAGGCTTGTCCCTTGGGATTAGCCCTTCTGGGGAGGAGCCTTGCAGGTGGGAGGGAAAGGGCCGGCAGCTGTTTCCAGCAGACAGGCAGGAATTAGTACTAGTAAGTTAGTAGGCAGAGAGTTGAAGACAGAGTCCTGGGGTCACCACAGATCAACAGACCTGCAATAACAATGAGTCAAAAGGTGCTATTGATGTGAGGGAGAAGACTCTCCCCGCTCCCCCTTAACCTTGCAGACCCTTGGGGTGTGACCAAAGCTTGGCAGGTACTCCTGGGAGCAGAGAGTAGCTGAGACCCCAAGGCAACAACCTTGTCCCTCAGTGGCGGTGTCCTTTGAATTTGGGAATTGTCTAGGTTTTATGCAGCCACCTCAGCACCCTTGGTCCCTCAGCCACTAATTGAATATAGTGGCACATCCTACCCGAGGTTCCCAGGCAGGGTGACAGCCTAAAACACCCTCATGCATTTGCACCACCCCACAACAGGGGTCACTACTCCATACCCCTTGAGAGTGAACTGATCACAGCATTGAACTAGACTTTCAAAAACCCCACAAATTTGGCCGATCTGCAAAAACAAAAACAACAACAAAAAAAAACACAGACTAGGCCAATCAACAGAAGCCATAAAATATGAGCATTTATATTAGAATTTATCAGTTGCCAAAAATGATTTCCCAGAAAGAACCCAGATAAAGAAGTGTCATTGATGAGTCAGTACTGTGTTTTTTGCATAAATCTAGACATACATGCTGCACAAATGCCTCATTCTTTTCAAGGCATCCTCTGAGGAGGCAAGCAGTACTGGCAATCCTGGGCTCTGGGCAGTCTGCTGGCCTACTCATGACCTTCCTTTAAGAACTCAGAATATCAGCCGGGCTCGGTGGCTCAGCCTGTAATCCCGCGCTTTGGGAGGCTGAGGTGAGTGGATTGCCTGAGCCCGCGGTTTTGAGACCCGCCTGGGCAACTTGGCGAGACCTCATCTCTACAATAAGTCAAAAATAAGCCGGGCGTGGTAGCGCACGCCTGTAATTCCAGCTACTCGGAAGGCTGAGGCGGAAGGATCGCCGGAGCCCAGTGGGTCGAGGTTACAGTGGCCAGGAGCGACCACTGCACTCCAGTCTGGGCGACAGAGTGAGACTCCAACTCAAAAAAAAAAAAGAACTCAGAATATCAAGTGGGAGCAGATTGGGGTGAAGAAGTGTCCTTTGCAGCCTGGGCCCTCAAATATTTTCCTGAACAGAGTCCTTCTGACTTTTCGTCTTCCCCGTAACAAAGTCCTGGTCCACGCTGCCTCCAATGTGGGAACACAGAGGCTGTCCTGTTATCCCACTTTCCACAGGGTGGTGGAGACAGAACTGGCCACATACTTTGCAGGGCCCAGCACAAAATGAAAACACAGGGGCCTTTGTTCCAAAATTATTAGACATTCCAAGATGGCAACAGGGGAGCATTAAGCCAACAAGGGGTTCTTCTGAGCTGGCCCTGGATGAAAACAAGGGCTGTGTCTTTGCTCACTGATGTAGTGACAGCTCAGAAAGTCAAGCACAGGGCCAGAGACCACAGAGTTGTTGGAGGATTTTGTCATGCCTGGATAGCTCACCCCGGGTACCCTTGAAGTCGACAGGGAAGCTCTCACAGCATTCTGTGGAGCATGCCAGGGCCGTGACTTCGTGGTACCTTGCATTCTTAGAGAGCATCCCAGTCGACAAAGGACCCATTAGAACAGAGAAGGGTGTAAATGAGCCAGTTGGGACACGAGGCCCCTCACCTGAATTTCCTCCTCGGGTGCTGCTGAAGCATGTGATGGTTCTTTCTTTGTGTGTTTTGACTCCTAAGATAAAGCTTATGCCTGGCCACTGAGTAACCTGGGACCATTCACTGTGCTGTTACCCACAGACAAGGGACTGAAAGGATTCAACGTGAGTATTTAAAATAACCCCGCATGGAGGGGCTGGTGCGAAAAGCCTTAGCAGGCGGTGCATTCTTTTATATAAGGTAAGAAACTCTCATTAAAATTGAATCCACTCGGCAACCCCCTGGGGTCCCCTCCCACTCTGAGAGCCTTTCTGTCCTCTCAATCTTGCTTTCCCCCCCAAAAACTTAATCTAAATTAAGTTCAATTTTTAATAAACTTTTTATTGAAATATTACCTCCTTACAGATAGTGTGTAAATTGCAAGTTACACTGCAATGAATTTCCCCAATGTGAACATACTTGTGCATTCCTCAAGTTTATTACCGGCACCCTAGAAAGCCCCTGTGTGCTCTTTTCCAATCATTAGTCCCCCTGAGAGTAACCACTGGGAGATCTTAACATATAGTCATAGGATAAATAAGATTTGCATGGTGCAAAACTTCTCAGTTCCCACAGGAAGAACTAAACTAACATATTAACTGGATATCTGTCTCTTTAAAATCATATGAATGGTACCAGGGGCAGGGAAAATAAAAAGAAAAGTGTAGCCTTCAATGTGAGCAGCTGTTGTTTGAATCAATGTCATCTGGGGGAATAAAACTTGTAATGCCTGGTAGAGGTGTCCTCTCATGATGGTGTCAGTGAAATAGTTATCTATGGTTTTACGTACATAGCAAACACACTGATTTGCATAAAACTTATACAAATCCTAATCCAGGATATTTTGTGTTAATAACGTTTGCTTCCTCAACTCAAAACCCAGTAAGTTCCAGGCCCTTGCACCCTAATATGACATCACCGTTTCTCGGTCTGAACTCCACCTGTCCTTCCTTGTCTATTGTTAGCCTTCGAAGAGTTCTCACGCCTCTCCTGCTACAGAGAGCTAGTAAATGCTGAAGCTGCTGGCCAGGCACTTGGCGTATGGTCTCTCGTCTAATACGTAGTTTACACAGTTAATAAAAAGCATCTGCTGATGAATGATTGCTTATGTAGATGTGACAAAATGTAGATTTGGTCCCACGGATTTAATAAATCTTAACTTTTCTACTGAAAAGCACCATCAGCCCACTCTTACCTTGCTCTTTTCATGAAACTTCATATTTCATTTCCATCTGCTTCCTGGGTTCAAGACAGATTCCTTGTTCCTCCTGGCGCCATCACTCTGCTAAGCTTTCCCACCAGCCACCCTCAGGGCTAGAGTAGACTCCCTGCCAGGCCTGGCTTGGGATTGAGAGGATTCAACTGGCTGATTGTACAAATGGAAAGTCATTCATACCTGAAGACCCCGCACCCAAGTGAGGGTGCCCTGGTTTTGATGTCTTTGACACTAAGTAAGGCACAACACGCATTCCAAAACTCATTTTCTCCTTTGCACAACAGTCAAACTAGCTCTCTTGTCTTAGGTAAAGGAGCTTTTGATGGATAATGAAGCTGCCAAGTACTTTGTGAAACTCCACATCATTGCTGGGCAGATGAATACCGAGCAAATGAATAGCACAGATACTTTCTACACCTTGACTGGAAAGGCAGGGGAAATCTTCAATGATGATAAGGTAAGAGTGTCTCTGACTTTCACTCCCAGAACTAAACAGTCCACCAGGCCAATCTCTGTAGCCTTCCTTCTCTTTGTGTTTGGGTGAGTGAAAGGTTAGGAAGAACTTCTTATCTTTTGTTTGTCAAACATCTTTCTATATAGGAAGAAGCAGGGAGTAACACCAGGAGGGACCAGGAAGGAAGATAGGGGCTGTTATGCAAAGGGAGTTACCAAGTGTTTGATTTTGGTCTGGTCTGGTTTAGTTTTCAAGGCAACCATCATTCAACTACCAGCAGGAAGGATGAAACTTTGCTGTAAACCTGTTTCCCGGAAGCATCAGCACAAAGCCAGATCAGCAAAAGGAAATGTATATTGTTTTAGATTGCTGAAGGTGATCCATCTTCTAAAACTTAACATTCCATCTCTCTTAATGCCATTAGATCTGTTTTGGGGTTTTTTGTGTTTTTTTTTTAAAGTTGGAGTCTCATTCCCTTGCCTGGGCTAGAGTGCAGTAGCACACTCACAGCCACCCCAGCATAGACCTGCTGGGCTCTGGCGATACTTCTGTCTCAGTCTTCCAAGTAGCTGGAACTACAGCCGAGCACTATCATGCCCAACTAATTTTTTATTTACTGTAGAGACAAGGTCTCACCAAGTTGCCGGGGCTGCTCTCGAACCCGCGGACTCAGGCAATCCACTCACCTCAGCCTCCCAAAGTGCAGGGATTACAGGCTGAGCCACCGAGCCTGACTTGTTTTTAAATAAAGCCATCTTCCCCACCTTTCACAAACAACTTTTTTGTGACTTTGCCGATTTGGGGGCAGGTGATTAAGCAACAGAATGTGCATGTGTATAGAACATACAGCCTACACTGTTGCATTTCACCAAATATCAATAGTTGATAGATGGTTGAGTGCTTATTCCATGAAAAGTATTGTGATAAATCTTTATGTGTGTTATATAAGACTCACAACAACCCTGTGAAGAGGTACTATCAGAATTCCTATTGTTCCAGTGGGAAAACAGAGAGGTCAACTAGTAAGTGCCAGATTCAGGATTCAAATGTGGGTCTGCCTGACTCCAAAGCCTGCATACTTAGCCAGTCTGCAAGACTGTGTATGTGAGAATGGGTGGATGGATGAATGGATGGAAGGATAGATGGATAAGTGTTTGGGTAGATGGGTGAATGATTGGGTGGGTGGATGAGTGGACGGATGGATGAATAGCAGATGGAAGGGTAGATGGATGTATGACAGATATGAAGATGTGACTTCCTTTCTCATAAGGACATGCATATATTCCTTCCTTCATTCATTCATTCAACAAATATGTACTAAGTCTTTAACTTATAAGAGTCACATGGAAGCTGGACTCGGTGGCTCAGCCTGTAATCCCCCGCCTTTGGGAGGCTGAGGTGAGTGGATTGCCTGAGCCCGCGGGTTCGAGCT